ATATAAGTTCATATGACTAATAGTTGACTAATTTTTTTTAGTTCAAATACTACTTATCATTTCAAATTTATGTCATTAATGTGACACTAATGTAAAAGGTAAAAAATATCACATGGTTATATTCTCATGTCACATTAATATATTATATTATTATCGATTATAATATATTAACATGTCACGTAATCATCAATTATGACATTTAAATATATCATGTTAGTGTCACATGGCATAAAATGACAAATTATATTTTGATTAAATCAATCATTAATTATAAGAGTCAATTTGACTTAAAATAAAAATTTAAAGATTTATTTAACTTAAAATAAAATATAGAGACTTGATTGAACATAATAAAAAAATAACTTATTTGAATTTTCTTAAATAGTATAGACACTTTTTTTATGTATTATGCCTACTACATATATCAAAGAGACTAATAAATAATCAAATAACTAAATCATCCTTCCATATTTGCATTGCAACACATCAACTTTTTGGAAATTACATTATTGCCTTTTTGAAACTGTTTGGATCGTCTTGCATTGTCTTGCATATATATATATATATATAAAGGCCACGTTGTATAGGCTATTAAAGTCATTTCTCATATTTGAACATGGGTTTATGTGGTATTTTACTATCTAGATTTTTTGTATATAAAATGTATTTAGAAAAAGCTTTCAAAAAATGAGAAACTTGTCAAAAAGGACAATGATGAAATTTTTTAAATTATGTGGTGGTTTGAACATTTAAGGCCTTTTCACCTTTAGAGTAAAAGAAAGAAGGTTTCAAAGTGTGAAAAGCCTTGATTCGCTCATTGAGAACTGCTATCAACGCAAAAATCAATCAACATTATCAAGCCACAAATACGAAATCCAAATAAAAATTGCAAATCAACAATAACAAAAATCAACGGAAAAAAACTTAAAAAAATTCAAACACAAAAATAATTAAAAAGCAAAACTATAAAAACCCAAAAATAAAAAAAATAAGGGTCTACCAATTTTGAGAGAATTTATCGGTTTTAGGGTAAAGAAAACATTAGAGGTTAAAGAGAGAAGGAGAAATATGGCTTTCAAATGAAAGAGAAAGAAAAAGAAAAATTAGTGAAAGGGAAGGAAACGAAGGGGCAATTAGTTTGGGAAAGGCCAGTAGAAAGAAAAAGAAAAAAGGAAAATGTACCTAATAGAGAAAAAAAATAATAAAGAGAATGCGAAATTTAGGTTTTTTTACTTAATTGAAATGGTGTGTTTTGGATAGAATAAAAAAAGAAGAGAAAAAGAGGAAAGAATGGACTGTTGAAGCTTTAGGCCTATTCGACTCATATTTGTTTTCTCTCTTAACCTAATTAGTTTAATCCCAAAACCGAAGAAATGAAGAGACAATTAAAAAATAAAACAAAATATAATAACATTATAATCATCTCAAACTAATAAAAAATGAAAAAACAAAAATAACCTGAATGCAACTTTGCTATCCTACATTAAACCTTGAAAACCCTAGTTGTTGCTTCGCATGGAAGCAGACTCGTTTGGAGTCCTCCCTATTAATGTGGATGGAAACCAAGGATGAGAAACAATCAGAATAAGTTTTAAAAGAGGGAGAATAAGGCTAGAAAGTAATGAGAGGTGTGGTGATTCAAATAAGGTAGTTAACTTGAGTCAACTAGTGCAAGGAGAGATTCCTTAAGTCATCATATGAGAATGTATTAATGCATGATAATGAGGGTACCATGTCAAAAAATGAGAATTCTAAAGAAGAGGGCTACTTTATGCAGGATGTTGGATCAAATGACGAAGAGATCGGACTAGTTACAAAAGGTTCATATATTAAACTAACAATGAGGATGATGAGAAAGAATGTAGGAGCAATAGTGCTAAAAATTGAACTTGACAAAGCTTATGACATATTGAAATGGAGCTTTCTACAAAAAGTCTTAGAAGAAATTGACCTACCATCTGAGTGGGTAACCCTTATAATGTTTACTGTGAAAACGTCCACATTTTCCATTATTTGGAATGGCAAGACAACAAATTCTTTCTCACCTACAAGAGGCATCTAACAAGGTGACCTTTTTTCACCCTATTTGTTTGTTATTTGATTGGAAAAACTCTCACATCTAATAAAAAGTGCAATACATATAGGAGATTGGAAGCCGTTAAGAGGTCTTGTTCTCTTTCATATATGTTTTATGGATGACCTGATGTTATTTGGTATTGTCTTAACAAATCAAGTGAGAGTAATGATTTAGGCTCTTCATCAGTTTTGCAAAGCTTTAAGACAAAAGGTTAGTCTTTTAAAGTCTAGGTTCCTTGTTTCTTCGAATATTAACAATACAAGAGCCAACAGATTAAGCGAGGTTGCTGAAATGCCTTTGACAAAGGACTTTAGGAAATACCTTGGTGCACCAATGTTACATGGAAGAATCAAGAAAGAAACATACTCTAAGTTGGCTTCAAAGATTAAGTTATAGTTGGAGAGATGGAGTAACAGGAACTTTTCAATGGTAAGGAGAATCGTGGTAGTTCAATCAGCAACTAATATGATGGCAGTCTACCTAATACAGACATCCTTGTTATAAAAAAAAAACTATTATAGAGATAAATCGCTTGAATTGAAATTTCATTTGGGGTCATGTAGGGAATATAAGAAAAATCTATGCACTTAATTGGGATAAGCTTTATGCGAAAAAAGAAAAAAAAGGGATTGCATATATGTGAAACTAGAAAATTCAACTTAGCCTTACTTACAAAGCTTGGTTGGAGGATATGGCAACAAAAATATAGCTTTAGGGTTGAGAAAAAATACCTTCGAGATAATGATTTTATGTTAGTAACAGCTAAGCCAACTGATTCACATGTGTGGAAAAGTATCTTGAAGAATAGAACAATACTTGAGAGAGGCTTGGCAAAGAGCATTATATATGGTCATAGAACAAAGTTCTAGTTAAATGCTTGGTTAAGCTGTGGTCCACTACTTAACTATGCTCTCAAGGACCTATCGGATGTAGAAGTAAATCTACCTGTAGCTAATTACTATAATGAGTTTGGAAATTGAAATTTGTAGCAAAATAAAGCAGAAGTTACCTAGAAACATCATGTTGATGATAGTAGCGGTAATGACCCAACTAGTGATGAAGAAGATAAAGCTCTCTGGCTTCCATCAATGAATGCGATATTCTCTATTAAGGTGACATATGAGTTACAAATTAATAATAGTTTCCAAAAAGCTAGTTATTGGTACTAGATATGGAAATCTTATAGTTCCATTTATGGAGATTAATGTATGAATCATTGCCAATTGCAAAGTGGTTAACCAAGAGAAGTGTGGACATCTCAACTTCATGCTCTCGTTGCATAATTGATATTGAAGAGCAGCTTCATGCCATAAGGGACTGCTCTCTCAGTAGGAAGCTATGGTTACAAACAGATCTTGAGCTCATATAGGGTAATTTTTTCTTTTTTGATTTACAGAGTTGGGTGGTAGTAATATGAGGAGTGATAAGGTAGTTGAGGGAATATCGTGAGAGTACTATTTTCATGCATACTACATGGCTGCTACAATATTGGAGGAATTTATCTATCTTTGATGCTTTGTTTGTTTGGCTAAATAATGCATGGCAATAAATATGGACCAAATCAAAAGAAGTTTGGGATAATCTGAGGAAAGAGCAAGTGAGGAAATAGACCTTTGTAGCTTGGAAATCACTAGAAGATTCCTATGTCAAGCTCAATGTGGATGGAAGTGCTAGAGGTCAACTAGGAATGGTGGCAGCAAGAAGGGTAGTTAAAGATGAAATGGGAAATTGGCAACGAGAATTCTCATATAAAATTGGCATTTCCTTTTCTCTCAATGTAGAACTATGGGCATTATACTAGGGTTAAAATTGTGCTGGGATAAAGGTTTTAGGAAAGTTTAGATAGAATTGGATTCTTAGTTAGCAATTCAAAAGATTTTCAATCAAGGTTCATAGTTAGATTCGAACACATAGCTAATCAAGTGCATTAGGGAGTTACCGCATCAATTTTGGGATCGTTCTATATCTCACATCCATCGTGAAGCAAATCAATGAACTGATTGGATGACCACTTATCATGATGATCTATCCTTGAGGTTATATATTTTAGATTCTCCACTAACTAGCAATAGAACAATTTTATTTGTAAATACTCTAGGCGTATCTTGGCCTAGAATGATATAATAAGTATTTTTTTATAATTTTCCCACTATATATAAAAAACAAAAAATAAAAAAAATTTAAATATAATATAAATATTTGTTTATAAAATTAGAACACTAAAACTTTTTTTAAAAGGTAAAATTTCCTTACGTCTTAAAGTTTGTTCGAAATTACACAGAGGTCTATTAGTTTTCAAAATAGATATTCTGCCTTAAAAAATTATTTTTCGCTGGACACTTAGGTCCAGCCATTAGTCAACCACCGGTGTTTCCATCAATTTGATGATGTAGAAAAGATAAAAAGATAATTTTACCTTTGATTAATTTTTAAAATTATTATTATATAAATTTATTAATTTTTATATTAATTATAAAAAAAAGCTCTTTAGGGAGCATCGGAGCTCCTCTAGGAGCCTCGATTAGAACTCCCAAAGGAGCACCAGATCTAATGCTCCCTTTCAATCGGTACTTTTTTTAAAAAATATATATATAATAATTTTTAATATCATCAAAGAAAGAAAATGTATTTTAATTTTTTTTTAATCTTTGTTAACGGTGTTTGCATTTTTAAGACGAAATGTTTATTTTAAAATTAATAAACTTGCTTAAAATTTCAACTAAAACTTAAAAATGTGAAAAAATTTTATCCTTGTTTAAATTATCAATATTTTAAAACAAGTATCTTTAATTTATTACTACTTATAATTTTTTAATTTAAAACTATTTGTTTTACTATTATTATCACTATTTACAGATTTTTCTATTTGACCTTAATTTTTTTATAAATATTTGAAAAAGGAAAGGTAAGCAGCCGGGCACCATTCTAGTGTGATAATAAAAGACGGAACCACTTTCTAAATTTAAAACGCTGCTGCCTTTGTCAAATCTCCTTGAGACTAAGAGACGAGACAATTTGATTCGTTTATTAAAAGCCTGCTCCGCTCTGTTTTCTTTTATTAAAACATTCAGCAATTGCGAACTTGATTTTGAGGCAAAGAAGGAAAAAGCCTACTCCGCTCTCTTTTACGGGTAAAATAATTTTGTTTCTATTCTGGGTTTTGTTTAAAGAGGTTTGATATCTTTCGTTCGAAGTTATATAGTTAAAGCCTGTCAATTATTTCTGTTTTTTTTTTTAGAAAAAAAAACCGTTTTCCCAGTTGGCTTTCCCTATTAGATGTACCTTTGGTTTTTTGGAAACTTTGAATGGCATTTCCTGCCTTTCTTCAATTTGTGAATACTTGTTTTGCACATCAACGGCCATTGTACTAGGCCAAAGTTCTGGCTTTTTTCTGGGTAAATACGTTATTGTTGAGAATATTGTGAATAAGTTCCCTTTTTATCTTCTCCCGGTAAATCGCGTAAATTGGTTGTTAGGGGTTCTTACTCCGTGAACTTCAGATGTTTGTATGCGTGAAATGATATACTTTGGAAAATCTCTCATCGGGTGGAATGAGCCTTGTTCCTCTTCAATTCCTTGTCCTTGGGATTTGAATTAAATGCACTTTGTTACTTGTATTAGTTGACCTGATTGGAATTGTACATGAAAGCAGGAAAACGAGGAAACTGAGATCTTAAGCTTATTATTTAATGGACACGGGAGGGAATTCATTACCTTCAGGGGCTGATGGGGTGAAGAGGAAGGTATGCTATTTCTATGACCCGGAGGTGGGGAATTACTATTATGGGCAAGGTCACCCTATGAAGCCTCACCGAATTCGAATGACCCATGCCCTTCTAGCACACTATGGGTTGCTTCAGCACATGCAGGTTCACAAGCCCTTCCCTGCCAGAGATAGGGATCTTTGCCGCTTCCACGCTGATGACTACGTGAACTTCCTCCGCAGCATAACCCCTGAAACGCAACAGGATCAGCTCAGGCAGCTCAAGCGCTTCAATGTTGGTGAAGATTGTCCTGTCTTTGATGGCCTTTACTCCTTCTGTCAAACATATGCCGGTGGATCTGTTGGTGGTGCTGTCAAATTAAATCATGGTCTCTGCGACATTGCCATTAATTGGGCTGGTGGGCTGCATCATGCAAAGAAGTGTGAGGCTTCGGGGTTTTGCTATGTCAATGATATTGTCCTTGCAATATTGGAACTACTTAAGCTGCATCAGGTATGTTCTTTATATCTTAATTCCTTATAAGCTTTCCATCTTGCTTTCCTTCTCTTGTTCTCCACTAATTTGGGCATTATTTAATTGTTTTTATGCATGAGTGAAGCCCGAAATCTTCATGCAAGTGCTATATCTAAATAGCGTCTTCTGATAATCACCTTGTTTAGTCCAAAATGATATGTGATATGGCTTGTTTGCAATTTGTCTTACAATGTTTCATTGAATACAGATTAGATGGATCATTGACAATGGTTGTTATAGTAGGCATGAATGGATTATATAAATGTTTATTTATTTCACCTGAATGACTTGTTTAATTTTTCAATTCATACATTTCCTCCTTGGATGTAAAGATATTTTTTCTTTTGGCACCAGTACCAACTTTATGTCATGTAGTTTGTTATCAATGACAAACTGCATTCTCCTTGTTGCAGCGTGTTCTATATGTTGATATTGATATCCACCATGGAGATGGTGTGGAGGAGGCATTTTATACAACTGACAGGGTCATGACTGTTTCATTCCATAAATTTGGAGATTATTTTCCGGGTACAGGGGATATACGTGATATTGGATATTCAAAAGGGAAATATTATTCCCTTAATGTTCCTTTGGATGATGGTATTGATGATGAGAGTTACCATTACTTGTTTAAGCCAATTATTGGTAAAGTTATGGAAGTTTTTAAGCCTGGTGCTGTGGTCCTTCAATGTGGTGCTGACTCCCTATCTGGAGATAGGTTGGGATGTTTTAATCTTTCAATCAAGGGTCACGCAGAGTGTGTTAAATTTATGAGATCATTCAACGTTCCGTTGTTGCTACTAGGTGGTGGTGGTTATACCATTCGGAATGTTGCTCGCTGTTGGTGCTATGAGGTAAGTGGCCTATTACTATTGCAATTGGTTAATATTTCCTGATTGGCTTGACAGTTGTTATCTAATGTTAATATATGGTAAAGTTGACTTTCCAGTCAACTTTTTGTCTCCCCTTCCCCCTTCCCTCTTTCTCTTTTTATGTTGTTTATGTTGGAAGATGTCCAAATCATGGTGCTAAATTGTTTTTCTTCATCTTTAATCCCCATAAAATAGCTCTCTAGTTTTTGGTTATCAAGATGATAAAGCAAGAGATAGTATTTTGATTGGAATGGATGGAATCTTGTGTTAAATTAATTGAATATATATTGGTCTTTTCCGCTTCTCAAGTCATGTACACTCTTCATAGCATTTGGTGCCACTAAATGCTCTTCTTCTTATTATTCTTTTTGGGTAATGCCCCTCTGTTGTATGTTTCATGACGCAACACTTAAGTTGATTCTATTTTCTACTTTGTACACATTATAATTTGTCATGAAACTTGGAAGAACCATTTGTAGTTGCTAGTGTTTGATTACTTTATTAATACTGATATCTATATAAGCAGACAGGGGTTGCACTTGGAATGGAAGTTGATGACAAGATGCCTCAACATGAGTATTATGAATATTTTGGTCCAGACTATACTCTTCATGTTGCCCCTAGTAACATGGAAAACAAGAATTCACGGACATTACTTGAAGATACACGTAATCAGCTACTTGACAATCTCTCAAAGCTTCAGCACGCACCAAGTGTCCCATTTCAAGAAAGACCACCTGACATTGAGCTTCCTGAGGTGTGTTCTGCAGCTTCTTCATTTTATTCGCCAAAATTTTGTCCTAGCTTCCTTTTGCATCTGGTATCAATCAGTGGAAATTTATCACATGTTTCACTCTCTGTTCTCAATCCTTTCCATGAGTGCATGTCCTTTTTATGTGTCCATGTTTGGCATTGCACATTTACTGCTTAGATCTTGTATTAAGGTTCTTAGATTGTCAAATAATAATCTAATAGGCAATTAAAGATATCTATTTTGGATTTATCCTCATTTTTACTCTTTTATTTTGCCAATTTAATGCAACTTGGTGGTAGTTTGCATTGATAGATTTCCTTCATTTTGCTAGGAGTTACATTTAGCCTCATATCTGCTACTCGACTCTTAGACTTGTTGCTTATTGATTTGTAATGTTCAGGCCGATGAAGATCAGGATGATGGAGATGAGAGATGGGACCCAGATTCAGACATGGAGGTTGATGAGGAGCGGTATTTATCTTTCAATCTTTTTCTATTTTTAGAAATTTTTTGGGTTTTAGACCCCTCACTGTTTTTCATTGCATTCTATTTTCATCTGTCATTGACTCATCACGTTTATGCAGTAAACCGATCCCAAGCAGAGTAAAGAGAGAAGCAGTCGAACCCGAGACAAAAGATCCGGTATGCTTTATGCTATAAATGTTAGATTTTGTGATTGTGCATGATTCTTTTTCTTTTTAAGCTCGTGCTAGATTTTCATTGTGGCTTATATTCTTCTCAGGAGGCTCAAAAAGGAACTGCTGAGCAAGCTAGAGGCTTTGACGCTGCAACAGATGAGACTGTAAGTACAAAGGTGAAGTTTTGAGACACAAGCAACTGGATGAAATAAAGTGGTTGTTCTTGTATTGTCTATAACATATGACCATATTCAGAAAATGATATCACGGCTCTGAAAAGCTGTCTTTATTCTGGTTCTTGCAGGCTGTAGATGTCAGTCCTATGCCTATTGATGAACCAACTATGAAAGTTGAGCAAGAAACATTGAACAAAGCAGCTGATCCGATGTACCCAAAGTCCTAAGCAAAAATCTCTAAAATAGATACTGGATGTTTATCTCTGAATTCAGATCTAAAATTGTGCATTAGCATTTTGTCAAACATTATAGGCCCCTATGTTTATTGAGTTTAAGTTTGTACAAGTCATGAAAACCTGAACGGATTTTGCTTTACATTGTAGCTTCTTCAAGTTTGAACTTGAAGCTCAAAACAGTGTAAGATTATTAGTAGCAGTTTATATAGCCAAGAAATTTTTCTAGCATTCTCATCTATAGAACAATGGCAGAAAGATGGTGAATGCTTAAATCATTTGTTACCAATATGGTGATATCGTCGATCGAAATTAAAAAGCTTGTAAGGGATGGCATTTGAACGATATATGGTACGTACTGTTGTTCACTTTGGAAAAGCTCCTCTTGCCCTTCTACTCTTTGTTCAAACCAGAACGGTAACAATGGATAATCTATATAACCACCATCAATAAGACATGCAACAAATGTTCAATTTTTTTGCTTCTTATTAAAACAAAGATAATGTGATCCATCAAAAATAGAAAAACAAAAGAAAATAGGGAAAAAAAGACAATGATAATGTGATAATAAAACCGAATTAGAATTCGTGTTAAAATGCTTTGTACAAAGGATCGGAGAGGAGAATGTCTGGTGCATTACAGGGATTCATAATGCTGCTGTTGGGAGGCAGTAAAATGAAAGCAATACTTGTCTCAAAAATTGAATGCTTGATTGGTTCTCAATTGCTCCAATTTGTACAGCCATAGAACATCATGTTGGAATATCTACCCCCAGTTTTGGTAAGTCCCATGAGAGGATATTAAAAGCAAGACAAAATGTATACCTGTTGGAGTACCTACCTTTATGAAGTCTGGCTAGTGTAGAGAAATCACAAGTGAAGAGCTATATATAAGAATCAAAACTTTGGAACAAAACTATGACACCTGGTGTGACACACCTATTTGAACAATTCTATTTTTCCTGTTCTTGTCTGTGGCACCAGCTTTCCAAATCTTCAACGTTCAGGGCTGTTCAACCGTGAACAGTTGAGCAGCCCTGAACATCCCAAGGTAGCTATGCAAGCTAGTATTCTCCCTGCTTGAAAGAAAAGAAGTATAAAATAGCCCTTCAGTTGTTCCATGCACAGCACAGTTGGGACCAAAATTCTCAGCTCCCAATGGTTCTTTGGGGCAATGTAGCTTCCCTGCCACTGATGAGGCTCTTTAACAAAGAGGCTTGGTCCATGCATAGCCAAATTACCTTTGATTGGGCTTAAATGGGTAGGGTCATCAAAAATGGAAATCACAGTACAAAACCTGTCATGTCAATTATTTTCTCATCTTATATCATGTGTAATGGCAGGCTTCATCCTCATTCCATAATTCTCTTTACCATGTCAAAATCAAGAGATTCTCTTGTAGCTAATGCTCTGCAACAAGATAAAACCACCCGCCAGCCAGCAGCCCATAAAGGAATAAACACGGACAGAAATGAAAACCAAGTTAGTACATATAAGAAATTGAAATTGGGAGCATAAGGTCTCTGAATCATTTTTGGCAGTTTTAGCATACAGACGAGTTTCCAAACCCTGACTTTAACTACTTTCCTTTCCTTTAAGAGTTTGATTTGGTTATACATGATTCTAATTCCATCTAAATATAAACTTTAAAGCTAGCAATTCTCTCATACTACTGCGACTCTACACCTTGTTTGTAAAATAGTTCTATCATTGCCAAAAGTCAAATTATAGGAAAGAAAGGGTTATCTTATGCATGTGATGCAAAACATGGTATGCAGAGCATACAGGCTAATTCACCATATATCTAAGATTTAGCCTATTAAAGAATCAGTGGACTGCCATGAGAAGAACAGCATTATAATCGATGTAATAGGTAAAGAGACACATCAGAACAAACCTGCAAGTTAGACTGATACATTCTCTGTCCAGAAGGCCAACTGGCTGTCCTCGGCAGTCTTTGACATGCTTGGATATAACTGGAACTTGACTCAAACCATGTTTAGTCATGATAATCTCCGCAGATAGAAGATCCATAGCTGGTGTAGCTGTCCATGGCACTTTACATTTTGCACTATCCAATGAACAAATTTCCGATACCAAAAGCTCCTGTATCATGAATTGCCAATTAGTCAAATATTGCATGGTTTCAGCTTTAAGTGCAGGGTAATAGAGGGAGTCACTTGGTGGTGTAAGAACCATAAAAATGAACTGGAAGCCATCTGGCTTACAAAATACAGAAATAATGTGCCTTCAACACACATATCTTTGGTATAAATCTACACCTAACATGGTGATTTCTAAATATAGTGAGGCATGTAGCTTCAGATGTATCTCACAATACCGACTGTAAAGATTGTCCTCGGGATTAACTGAACCAGTTGGGATGGCTAGTAGTCGCGGGTACAGATGTACCCTTAGAACTTCACTATTGTATCCCAAGAAAAAATAACTGTAAAGACAAAATCCTATGCTGAAGCTAATATTAATCTATTTTAAATGGCAATGGGGCACTTGTTTAGTATTTTCGTGATAAGAGACATCTTTCACACTTTTCATCTTTTCCTCCACCCTTATTTTCCATGAGATCCTAGGAACAGAAAAAATCTTCATAATTTTTTTTTCCTTCTTTCCCCTTGCGTAATGGGCAACATGCCCAACTATAAGTTGTTAAAGCATTTGATTCATGAAAAGTTGAACCAGCTATCTGTAACATACCTTGGATTCTAAGCATTTTTCTTTCACCAATTTGCTGAACTCATGAATATCTGTAAGCGTCAATAAACCCATTAAAAGGTTGTCATCATCAACAATGATTGCACAAGATTGCTTCTCCACAAGCATAAGAGTCACAGCTTCTGTAAGTAAAGTACTCATCATAACTGTCACATATCTTGTCCTCATGGCTTCTGAAACAAAAATTCTCTTCTCTAACTCCTTGGTCCTAATACTGGAATCATCAATGCAAAGTGAGCTTTCAACTTCACAAAGGTTATTCAAATAAGGTTCTGTCTCAGGTGGTGCATCAGTAGAAGATAGACCAGTAGCACCGTCTGATGCTTTGGGCCGTTGATTTGTACGAGTGTTTCCATCTTTGAGTGCTTTTTTCCCTTTGACATCCTTTCTTATCATCCATCCAGATGTAATCCATGAAGAGAATCCAACAGCTCCTAGTAAAGGTAAAACAATCCGATAATCTTGCGTCAGTTCAAAAAGAAGCAGAACCGCAGTAAGAGGTACCTGACAGACCCCTGCAAGGGTAGCAGCCATGCCAACCTGTACAAGGAGATCCATAATGATCAATCGTGTCATAGTTTAAAAAACAAATCATTTTGAGAACTTCCACAGCATGAGAAACTCATAGTTTGCAACCAAAGATGCATAAAACCATCATCTATCTGTTATCTTCATAATTATTGCCTTTGGTACTCTTTTTTACTTTTTCAGTCTGAGCAATAGGAAAATTTCTTAGTAAACTTCTTTTGAAAGATTAAAGCACCCCTAATGACAAGCATGTATGAACTCAAATTGAAATGAATAACAAAAAATCAACTTACAACAGAATAATTTCCACATTTAACAAACAAACTTTAATTTTTCAATATGATAAATGCATTTACAAATAGAAATACATCAACCAATCTTTACAGAAAATTACCAGGCCATATGCTTGTGGTGATGCCACTTCCAAGATGGAAAGGTGAATAGCTGGATTAGACTGAGCAATTGCAAAACTAATGAATTTCCCATATGCCATTCCAGTTGCTGCACCAATAAAAAGGGATGGGGCATAATACCCTCCTACTAACCCAGAGGCTCGGCACAAAGAGGTTGCAATAATCTTGACTGCCACCAGCTGAAACAAGAGATCACCTGAAAGACCTTTAACGAACGGCCGAGATTCTAACAAAATGTCCACATTCTCAAAACCCCAGTATAGAATTTCAGGATATGCCAAGGCTGTTACACCCACAGTTAGCCCCCCTACTACAGGAAATACGGGCTTTGGTATCCCAACATCCTTGTTAAGATTGTCCACAACACCCAACAGGTAAGATGTCAATTTGGAAAATGTCAATGAAACCAAGCCACAAAGTATACCCAGCAACAGATAAAGTGGAAGTTCTGAAAATAAAGTTAAAAAGAAACAGATAAACGAATTCATCCAATTCGCATGAGAATCATGAAAGAAACAAAGGTTTAATACTCTCAAATGAGGAAGAGAATTCATGAAATTTACCACCAGCGGACCTGAAATCATATTCAGGAACCTTAAAGGAAGGTTCAGAACCAAGACCAATTTCAGAGACAACAGAAGCTATAACCGCACTGAGAATAACCATAGAAGTTGTGTTAGTAAGAGACACCGATGAATCCGCCGGCGATGATGGCCATAAAACAGACTCAACAGCGAAAAAGCAACCGGCAACGGCCGCATTGAAACCTGAAGATACATACAGAACAGAGCAATTAATACATTAAAGAGACTCAGTTCCAAAGTAGTGTTTAGAATTCAACGGAAAAAGAAAATTACGAACCAGATGAAATTCCAGCAGCTGAACCAGCAGCCAAAAGAGAAAGCTTGGTTTGAGGATTTTTATCCAAAATAGAATGAATTTCTTTAGCAATAGACGAACCAATCTCGACGCTTGGACCTTCGGGTCCTAAGGAATTACCAGTCCCCAGAGTGACACAAGCCGCTACCGTCTTCAAGAAAGAACCCAACGCAGTTTTGGCACTATAACTAGCTTTCGAAACGGCGTCTCGAGCAGCGTTCAAGACGCTGACGATTAAACCGCCGCATGCAGGCACTAAAATGACACGTATCCAGACGGAGTCGAGAGGCTCCTCTCGTAACCATGAAGCACCCCTATAAGGAATGCCGTCCCAGAAGAAGTCGCGAATCTCATGCACGCCGTTGTTGAATAAAACGACGCCGAGACCCGTAAAGACACCGACCAAGCACGCCGATATGATCACCCCTGAATTGTCGAAATTATCCCGGGCGGCATCATCGGCGGGGGGGCCCACGAGGCTTTGCTTGTCTGCGGAGTCTGGTAGAGCAGCAGCAGGAGCCGGGTTGAATCTGGTGCGTTGATTTTGATTGGGAATGGGGATGCGAAACGGGGAGAGAGAGAGGCGGTTGATCTGGAAAGGAAAAGCGGGGCTTTTGCAGAGTGGGACTGGAGAGGAGAAGAGAAGAGGAGAAAGGTGTGACGTGGACAACCGAAGCGCGATATCCATGTTCTTTCCTCATCCAAAATCCGCACGTAGATAACTGATAACTAGTTACGACTTTTATTTATTAAAATAGTTCAGTTAATTGATAACTTCCAAGTTCAGAAGTAACTAGCCACCTGGAAGCTGGTTACTCTGGTTTATGTTGGCTTCTGTCTCTTCCTCCTGATGTCACAATTCTTATGGCTATCTTTTTTTTTAAGAAACATTTTTTTTATATATAAGTTTGAAAATTATTTTTTTATTAGTAAAATAGTTTCCTCATTTATTTGGTCACAATTGTTATTTATATTATTCCACTTGTTTTCAACCTTTAAATTTCCATTTTACCCTCAATTATTTGATAACGGTAGATTTGCCAATTTATAAGTGAGGTTTTAAAATGTAAAATTAAAATGATAGAAATTAGACTAAATTAATGGATTATCATCAAATTGATGTGAAATAAATAGTTGAGGCAAAAAGCATTTCTCATTAATAAATTATTTATTATTCTGAAATAGAATTAGACTACAATAAAATATTGAGAACGTGAGGAAAAGAAATTTTTAGAAACACAATAAATTTAACATTTTGTACAGCCGGTCCCCAGTGCTTAATTAGAACATAGGAACAATATCTTTGGCGGAAAATACAAATCTATCCTTGAGATTTCCCAAGCTCAACATCCTCGAGTGGTAGAGACCCGTCCACTTGCTGCTTCAATAGTTTAGCGTCTTCTTCCGAAGCATCCTTCAGGTATGGGATTACCTTGGAATCAGTTTGCTTCTTCTCAGCCTCAACTGCCCAACTGTATACTACCATGCCAAGGACAGCAATGGCCATTCCGAGTATGTTTTTCAGTGTCAGCTCTGAATCAAAGAGCAGCCATCCCAGCATCAAGACACAAACTGTTTTCATGTGGCCTAGAACCTGGAAAGAGACGGCTGAGAATCGCCCGATGCACAGATACTGGCTTATATTGCAGAATACCGCTAAGGAGCATGAGAGTAGTATGAAAAACTGCACATTTTCCCAATCACCCATGTTAGTATTTTTCCTCAAAAGTCTAACAAAAGTGTATAGTTTACACGTGTGAAGATGGCTGGCCTTGCTTTGAAGAGACAACTAGTACTTACAATTGCAGGTGACGAAAACTTATAACTTGCCAATAATTTGCCACTTATGTAGTAATCAATGAATGGACCAAGCAGCAAAAGAGACAGAGCTTGGATTGGAGCTGTTTGACTGAGCAATTCAAAAGAGCCTATCGAGTACTTCTTCTGTAAGGAGCCAATTGACTGTTCCCAGAAAAATGGTTAGGAAGCAAGGAGAACAAAAGAATCAGAGAAACAAAAATGAATAATTGATCAACTGATATCATGGACAAATGGCAATCGCTGGTGCAAAACTACTTCAATCAGCAACACCCAGAACAATTTTTTATTCTTTGCATTTATAGAAAACTACCTCTTCTTGTTAATGTTAATTAATTACATCGTACGAGAGATCCCCTAGAATCTAGATCACTAAATGCTGTGCAGGAAATAGGCAGGTTTTGAAGTACGGTAGACCGGTCATGACACATGAGACCCACGTTTCAAATAACCAAACAAGGCTTGACAATCTCTGCATTTATTAGATATAAACTGCTGTAATGGCTTGATGACTTTGTGCTATTCTGTGCTATAAGCATGTAATCATAACGCGAGTGCTGAAGGGAAAAATGAGAAATGCTTTCAAGCGGAAGAAAAACCAGAAAATGTGCTATGGCAAATGCTTACTATTTGTTGTAAGGAGGTAGAGAGGACAGCGACACAGGCGCAGAGAAATCCTTGCGCGTTAACTTTTACATCTGTAACTGTACAAACGCCCACGCCAACCACCACTACAATGACTGCAATCTTGACTTTGCTTGAGTAGTGTTTACCATGGAGGATCCATTCCATCACACAAACCACTGGAATCATACTTAACTTTGAAATCTGTATCATAATGATAACCATGAGGATTAGCTCTGAAATCTAAATCAGAATGACAGTGATGTAGATCAGAACTGGGATATGATGCAAGTAGGAAAAAAAGAAATACTTTTGTCATTTACCTGATAAAAACCAACTGAATTCAGCATGAGGCTCAAGTTCATCCCGGTTATTGAAGTATTGGCAACGACTGAGAACCAAAGAAGCTCCCACAAAGGAACGTGCTTTTTTGTTGAGTAACCAGTTGCATTGGACACCATACCGATTAAGGCGGTCATAGAGAAGTGGAACCCAGTTAACGTTGTTGCTGTAAAAGCAGGAAATGGTTATAGATTTGCAGAGAGAGAGAGAGAGCCAGAGCAAAGGACTTAAAATCTACTGCCCTTCCAGTATCACGGCCAGGTAGCCAAACCACAGTAAAAATGTTCACGAAATAAAATAAAATACCAACACTGACAAAGTGCCTTCCCAGGATTTCTAACATTTGGATGAAGAACATTGATAATTTCATCGCCAGAGCTTACTTTGAAGTTAAAAACAAAGGGATCATTGACATTCTGGAAAATCAATAGTCATCATCAAATCAAACTTTAAAACTTTTGAAGTTGAGGATTCAAACTAAAGAAGATTAGCATGGACTTGGTTGTCCAAGAATTACTGTAGAACATATTGCTTCAAACATGGAAGATTTTTTAATATGAACACTGCTTATTGGCTGCTCTGTTTGGCGGGTCGGAAGTACTCTTATGCCCTGAGACAATCTTAATTATATGCAATAATAACCAAGCCTAACAGGATAAGATCTGCAATTACAGTTGTAGAACTCATGGTTCAAGATAAAGCAAAACGACGCTGAAAAAGGAATCAATGGAGACTATCTAAAGTAGTGCATTCAAGAACCTTTTAATGCAAAAGTAAGGTTCCTGAGGTTTTCTTTTTTCCTGGAAACAAGACATCTGTAAGGCATGAATCCATTTTGTCCAGAATCTCATTTACTGAGAATCCAAGAGATAAGGTCATAGCTGATAAACAGGTTAGCATAAGAATCAGCAAATTAAGATTTTGACAAATTCAGTGAAGATAATTGAATAGCACATTCAGGGGATTCAAAAGAAAATTGGCATGCCGTGACTGGTGACAAGAAGGGAGAATGAGGTTCCAGATCAGACATCAGAGAAGGAGGAAGAAAATAGAGAAAGTTTTAGAAGGAGAGCAACTGACCAAAGACGAAGGCATAACCGCCAGGTGACATGAGCTGCTTGTTGGCCATGATAAGGCCAACAGAGCTGACAACATTCATAGCCCAAGCTCCAATGTCCGATACAGCTGATGCCGGTTTCTCCTCTGTCTCCATGTCTCAATTCAAATAGATCTTGGCGCTTGGTTGGACTCCCAGACACAACTGAAACTCTACTAAGCACTCTTCCCCCACAGATGCTAATCAGCCGTAGGGTGATGCTAAAAAAAAATGGATTTAGTGCTACTAATATAATAATAACAATAGTAACATGAACAATGATAGAGATAATAAAGGGCAGGGACCGGCCAAGCCAGCAAGTCCAAGTCCAGCCAGCCACAGAATATTGCCAGGCCAGCAAGGGGTTCAAATCTACTGTTGTTAAAACAATTAAAGTAAAGAGACAGAAATCATTGGATGGGCCGTACTTTTTCTCATGGTTTTCTGCTTTAATATTCTTTTCTTGTTCTCTCCCCACAAGCAAATCACACCGCGTTACTCGCGCATGTATCATACAATTATTTTAGGCATCAGCTTCAGCTGTTGTCTTTCGTTTGCAGTATAGCACACGTTCACAAATCCCAACACCTGACTTGATACGCAATTCATTGAAAAAGGCCAAAAGTGAATGGGATTTTTGCTATCCAAAGTTGAACCCCCCCTAAAATTTCCTTTCTTTACTTTGATTAACAAAAAAACAAAAAAATTCCTTTTTCATTCCTTCAGAAATCAATAATAATGATCAATATAGACATTATATTACTCTGCTTTCATACCAACCTCCTCTTACTCAATGTATGTAACATGTACAACCTCCTTGAGGTACAAATTCACGGGCGCAGTGCAAGAAGTATTCGCACAAGCACATGACTAGAACATGCCAGTCGGTCGGTGGGCTATACAATTAATTTCGAAACAGTGACTAATCTATACAACAATGTTTCCATCTGCTATGACTATGAGTTAGTTATCACGTCAAAATGAGCAAAGGGTGACTGCTCTTTAGGAGAAAAGCAACAAGTGAGATTCTTTTTGTTGGTCCATTGGATTACTAGTGATATTATGATAACAGATTTCCAATCATACCTGGCGTTTTTCAACCCAGTTAAGAGTTTGCCAGTACGATTTCTTCCCGTTAGTAACTTGGTGAAATCTGTGTCATTACAGATCTAGAAAAGGAACAACAGCCTCGCGTCATGGACGGCGCAATTCGGGTAGGGCATAAAGGTTCCTCGGTAAAAAAACGTACGGCTCTCAATCGTAATTAAACGAATATGCAGGTACGTGGTTCACAAGGTCCATCTGTCACAGGATCATTACTCTCTTCCCCATAAACATGTCTATAGGGGTGTGCAGCACCACCGCTTATAAAGAGCCCAAGACCTCCCGTTCGTGCCTGATGTGGGATTGAGGCACTTTCCTTGTGACACATCCCCCATGTAGAAATTATTTCAGAAAATAAATTAAAATACTAATTTTAAAAATTTTCAACATGTAGCAACCAGACAGCAGCAAAGACAGCATAGACAACGCGTCGAGCTGTGATCACAACCCCATACCGATCAAAGAAAATTTGTCTAATACCACAGTAAAATGCCTATAACATGCTAGACCCAAACATACACATGCCACTGCCCCATCCCAACTCACAGGAAGGCATCCTTCTCGAGCAACTTCAGTACCTCGTGCTGATTGTTGAGCTTGGCAACATCAATAGGAGTCTTGCCATCCATGTTTTGGAGAGTGCTGCAGTAAGAAAGACGACATTACATTACAGGAAAAAGTCAATACCCATAAGAGGACAGCATCAATTGTTTACTTACACAGCAGCACCATTCTCCAGTAGAAGGGCCACACAGTCTTTCCTTCCATAACCAGCTGCATAATGAAGTGCGGTATTCTTATTTTTATCCAAAGCATCCACTGTGGCTCCAGCTTCAACAAGGATTTGAGCGCATTTCACCTAAAATATAATCAAATGAGTATCAGCTTTACTCCCAGACAATAAACATGATATTAAACTCATCCCTTTGCAAGAAAATTTCCAAAACTAAAGAAGCATAACCTAAAACTAGCCCAGAACCCAATATCTACTCTAATTACAAACTCATATGAACTCTGGTTACATCTTCTTCTTTTTTTAACAAAAAAAAAATCTTTCTTTTTTCTTCTTTTGTTATGCAATTCCTTGTCCCAACTTGGTACAATCAACGTTTTTCAAAAGTAAATAAATCAATCATTTATTAAGGGAATCGCTTTACACAAACAGCAAAGTTGGAAGGGATACGCCCAGTAGATGGCAATTAGTAACATTAAAACAAGAAGCAAGCTCAGCTCAGTAGCCAACAGATTCCATGATACAGTAACATCTGATAATAATAATCAATGCCTTATTGAGTTGTGTCTAGATATGTAGCAACGATATAAACATTTTCCCCTCCACAAAGATCCCAAGATGAGATGCTACAAGCAAAAGGATGCTTTAAGGATCCAAGTCCTACCATCCCAAAATGCTTTTGACAGTCTACATAGACCATCCAAATTCTGGTTCCATATTTGTCTGTCCTAAAACTAACACTCAATTAGGCTTAGTAAGAGGTCACAAGTGCACTATGGACTGCAATTATTGTTTATGATATAAAGAGAAGATAAGTATTGGAGACTGGTACTGCATAATTTTAGACTATTACTGATTACAACTATGTGATTTTCTACACCAAATTTGTCATCGCTAGATGAAATTTACTTCATTTGTCAAGTAATCTCATCATGCAACAGCGAAGAGAGAGAGGAGGAGGGAAGAAAGATTCAGTTATAAAATTATCATACCTCGCCATATCCACATGCAAAATGCAATGCTGTCCTTCCCTCTGAATCTTCTTCATCCTTGTCAGCACCAGAGGCTAGTGCAGCTTTCAGACCCTAAATCATGAAAACAGTCCAGACGTTTTAGATTATCTGTCAAAGGGAAGGACATAAATACAACAAACATATTCACTTTCCCATACCTCAATATCACCAACACTAGCACAGTGATGTACAATTGACTCATCCTCATTTCCTACTTCATCTCCTTCATCTGCTGCGGAGTTATCAGCCGAAGTGGCTGCATCTCCTGAAGCAGCAAGACCCATTGCTTCACCCAGCTTCTGCAGAACCTCTTTGTCATTCCAGTACCTAGACCAGAAACCTTTACTTTAGCAATTTACTGAAAAAATAAGCTGAATGCGGAAATCATACTCACATTCTAAAGAATAAAATTTTAAGCCCACAAGCATATGCTTTTATGAAGCTCCTGATCTCCTAGTATTTTGATCACTCACCTCATCATTGCTGCAGGACCACCAGTCTCTATTTCTTCTAAAATATGTTTCAATGATGGATCTTCTTTAATACGTGCCATCCTTTCCTCAATCTGGTCTTTGTGTTGTGGATTAGTCAAACTGTCAAGCATGCCTGACATAGCAGGATCCTGAAGAAAGACAACTAAACCTTCATCTACCAGAAGTGATTTTCCATGTATTACAACGATAAGAGACTAAAAGAATCGTGAAACACCTTAAACTGGCAAATGAGCCCGCATATACCTGCATTAATGCATTACCAAGGCGCTCAGCCATGGTCATAAACTGGGGATTCTGCATAACCTGTTGCATAGTTGAATAGTACTGCTGAGCATCAAACTGCGGCACACTCTCTTCAACAGCTGCACCTTGAAACGTTTTAGTGAGCTGCTCCGCCATTTGGTTAAATGAAGGATCTTTTGCTATCTGCTCAGCTAATTCCTTGATGCTTGGGTCCTAAAAACCAAGATGGTTAACATCCATAAGCTACAAAATTAAAATGTGTTGAGATTTAAGGACAAAGCTGTTATGGCCACCAAATTGGGAAAAAATTAAATTGAGATAGTATCAATCCCAAATCATTCACAAGAATAACAAACTTCAAGGCACTCACATGCAATTCTCACTTATGTGTATAATTTGTAGAACTATTTTATTGTTCATACGATTGACTTTCTGATATTAAATGAAAAATGAGTTCCTACACTTTAAACACCCTTATCCTTGGTACAGCATTCTGGATATGGTGCATTGAGCCCCTAAATGCCAGTTCTAACAAAATGTAATATATATTGTATAAGTGCAAATACAGACTAATTTACAAGCTTTATCCAAGCTCCCAAAAATATCAATGGACACAGTTTTCTTCAGTTGGTTCCCAGCCATTAAGCACACTGCTGCAATAGTCCATCAATGAGATTAAACATAAACCTTAAGATGTTCTACTACTGCAACATTAATCAAGGACACAGAGCAAAAGATGTGCTAAAATTATGAAAAGGCGATCAAATCAATAACTTAGAGACAATTTGATTTTGCATGCAAAGAAACAGTTCACAATAATCCAACAGAGAATTAGAATGGAAAAGACAGAAGCTTACATTAAGAAGGCCACTCATGGCTGAGAAATCAAATGGATTGGGTGCAGGAAACCCAGGTCCTGGCATAGTAGCAGGGGAAGCTCTACCCTCCTGCGTTGGTTGTGACTCCCCAGTGGAAGTTTCTGGTTTTGAAGTTTCAGATTTCGAACTTTTGTTCTCTGTTGTCAAAGTTGATTTCTCATCTAACAAAGACAAGAAAACATTAAAAAAAAACAACAACAACTCATCAATTTACTAACTTCCAACCCAAGTCAGATCGGAATCCATCAAACATTAACCTCCAACGAAACAAAATCAATCAATTCCTAACAAGAGAAATCCCAAAACGAAAAAGGTCTTAAAAGGACTTTGATAACCTATAATTCTTGAAATCCCTAGCTACTGATACAATTACAAAGCAGTATCGACAATAACGAGGAAAGGTAGCTACTTTTTTTCCGATTCGAATACCAGATCAATTCAAGACCTAAACTTAGTAGTCAAAAAGAATAACTAGAATAACCTGTAAGAGTTAATTCACTTCACCGTCGATTAAGAAATAAGCAGACGGAGCTCAGATAGATCTCATAACAAATTACAATCCAATTGAAGAAAAAAAAAAGAAAACAAAGCCATACGAATCTGAGACTAAGCTCACCAGCAGCGGCGGTTTCCTTCTGCAAATTGGAAGCCATGGGGAATAGCTGAATTCACCGATTAAAAAACAAAAAACGTTAGAAATTAGCAAAAGGGGAAAAAATTGAGGATAAATAAGACGATGATGAAAAATAGATTGAAACCTTGATTTGAGGCGGTCTTCGTTTATGGGAGGTGAAGAAACTAAGAAAAAAAGTGATAAAGATAAATAAGAGAATCGAAAACCCTCTCTACCAAGTAATCAAACCAACAAAGCAAGCACAGTAAGAGGCAGAGTAGAGGGAGGCAAACGACAGGTCCAAAGTTTAGAGCGAAAAAATAACTTAAGTACTGGAGATGAGATGAGTTGGTGGGCCACCTCAATCCTCATCTTCCCCATGGAACGTAATCGTCCTAATGTTCTTTGACCTTTTTGCCTTTGGGCTACATCTATATTTACGATATATGCTTTAAGTGGCCCAATGGTTGGGTCCAGTGGACAGGAATCCAAGTTCTTATTTTGGTTGATCTACGAACATTTTTCTCCATATTGTCCTACAAAATATCGATATTTACTAGTTCATCTACTTCTGCTTTTGATCGAGATAAGGGATAAGGATAAGGGATAATTTCCTTTTTTTTCTCCTTTTTCTGTTTTTTTATTTCAATTATGTAAAAAGTAAAATAAAATAAATTACGATGACAGTTGGGTTGGACGTTGGAGACACGACTTTTTACCTTGTGAGCCCCACTCATTACAGTTATTCCTTAAACTCGAGTATTACCGACAAGTTACTTTTGGATGTGTCTCTTTTGTTCCAACTTTTGAATGCCGCCGTTGTACTTGTCATGCTGTTTCAGTCCAGTTCGCAGTGAAATTACAGTCGACCTTTATCCTCAGTTGCTTTAGTTTTTACTTTTATTAGAATTGAATTATATTATGTCACTATATTGCTTTTTAATATACATTTATACATAAATATGTTTCTTTATTGTGCTATCCCTCTTACATTTTATATGAATATGACTAGTAGTACTTATGTCATAAGTTTATTTTTTAAACTGAAAAAATTATATCCGTTAAGTAGAAAGACATATGTTTATATACTAAAGATTCATTTTATTTGCTATAAATCTATAATTTTATTTATCTATTTATTCTATTTTGTTAGAGATGTGAGACTCATGACATTCTACTTTATTTAATTATAAAATTTGTAATTTTTTTTATTTAATTATAAAGTCCCTCATTAGTAACAATTTAGATATATTCTAATATTATTTATCACGAGTAAAAGAAAACTCATGTTTATATACAAAAGACTCACCCATCTAATACTGATTCAAGATTCGTGACCCTTAGATCGAGATAATTACATTTAGTATTTCTATGCTCATGATATCTGTATTTTTTTATATTCATTTCTAATAAACTTAAAACTTTAAAAAAAATTGAATCTCTCAAACATAATACATTTTAAAAATTGTTAATGGGTGAAATCTAAGGACTAAGATATGGTGAATAAAGACATTCAAGTACATAAACATTGATTACATTTGCGAAATTTCGAACCCAATGGTGTAATAAATTTTAAAAAAATTAGCCCAAACAAAGAGGAATCAATACTGTTTTCCACTTGATCTCACTCTGCGTCTTACAAGAAAACATACACCGTACATAGTTGCATTTGATGATCAAAAGTAATCAGCAATCAAAATTCAAAGCAGAGCTATCCAGCACAAATGCAAGACCAGGAAAAAGGAAAAGCAGCACTCATTTGTAAACAAAATTAAAATTGCACTGCTTGCTTCATTTCCTTCTGCATCTTTTGAAAACACTCAAATGATTGAATAAGAGTACTAAATATATACAAGCTCCAATACAACATGAGTACATGACATACCATTGGTATATTCCCCGGATCATTTTACTAGGGATGGCATGCATGCTATCGAAAATCTGATATACACAGACCACCAGTTTCTTGGAAAAGCAATGAATCTCACAAAGCACCAAGTTGAGCCAACCAAGGAAGCAACTTTTCATGAACTAGGTCAGGTTTATCATCATGGGGGCAATGCCCTACTCCTTCCAACACGAAAAGGGTTACATTTGATGACTGTGAAGGCAGGGAAGAGAAGTACCTACCAACAGGCCCATCAAGAGGGGTGAATGGATCTTGATCACCCCACAAAACCAGGACAGGTAAGTTTATTCTCGGCATCAATTGCACAGGGTTTGGCCCTGGTGGCCCTGTTATAATTGAGACGAAGGCATCAAGAGCGCCTTCATCATTTGTTGGTCCGTTGATGATCTGCATTTTTTCAGGTTATAGAAAACATCTCTACTAGGTTGATGCTGATAAGGTATCATAGACTACAACTAGAGGGAATAGCCATACCTCAACCAGGTCATCATCCACGGATTCTTTATTTCCGTATACAGATAACAAAATATTCCTTAGATTATCTCTGCATTAAACACAACAACATAAGTAAGCAAGCTGGCATTTACCATTGAATTTCAGTACAAAGAATGTTTGAACTGAATAGGGTACCTTTGCTTGGCCCGCTCAAAGACCGCTGTGGCAATTCCTCTTTGCTTCAATAAGAAATCAAACAACCAAAGCAAAGGTAACAGGAGCTGGATCCTCCAATCATCAACAACCGCTTTGTTGTTCATCCCACCAGCACAATTTAACAGCACAAGCCCTCGAACCAGGTTTTGACTAGATTCTTATTCAAGGGAGTACAGTCATCAAAAACTGAATAGGTTTTCTAAATACTGTTTCACAAACAACAGAGGAAGACAATGACCTTGTTTGCACCATATAAAGAAAGAAATTTTAACTACCTGAGGCAGCAATCACACAAGCAAGACTTCCAACAGAGTTTCCTATCAACACGGTAGGCTTCTGAACAACTTCATTCAAGAAATCTAATATCAACTGTGTACAATAATATTGAGATTAGAAGAACAAATTTTGACTAAAATGTTGAGACAATAGCAGAGAGCATCCCATTTTTTGTGAATTGGGTAGTTTACCTGAGCCCATGCTTCCATGGTATATGGAAAACCTTGAGGCTTATCTGAGGCACCAAAACCCAAAAGGTCAAGAGCATAGACACTATAATCCTGGGACAATGTGCCAATATTCCTACACGAATTGTTAAAAGAGTTCAAATACTAGAATTATCAAAATTATTGAAAAACATTGTCTTTCCACTTTGGTTACCTGCGCCAATGAGGAATGGAAGCACCAAACCCGTGAACAAGAAGCAGAGACGGTTTGGATTCTGCATTTGAAGAAGAAGAAGAAACAAAGTAATTGATGGAGTATTGGCCTCTCCATTGCCATTTATTGCATTTCTCCTTTATGTCACTCACCCCTAGCACGCTGCCACCAGAATCAGTAGATTGGTCACGGTAGCCAGTGATGAAACTACGGTTACCATAGCCAAGACCAAGAATGGGAGGCTTGTAACTGTAAAGCCGAGGGAAAGCGAATCTTCCTCTAAATCTGGGTCCTTTCTCCTTCGTCTGCTGCAGGGATTGCAGCGGTCGCAGACGGACTACATCGTGAAGAGACATGGCTGCCATCTTTTTCCTCTGCTCACCCTCTCCCTTCCCCTCAATCTCCTTCCTTTCCCATATCCCGGGTTGTGGTGCTGGTTATGTTTGGACTACGGGTTGCTCTCATTTCCTTTACTACTGTTTTGGTTTTTTTTTTGTGACATTTTTTGCCCTCAGGTCCTTATATTTTATCATATTTAAACTCGAATCTGTCCATTAGTTTTGAAAATTCATTTTCCACCCTAAATAAATCAAGTTGACAAGTCAAAATAACCAGAGAGGTATCACCTTACTCTCCATGTTGTTCAACAAAAAACCACAAAAAGTAACAGCGTCTATGTATTGAAAGCTCAACACCGGCAAACACTCTTGAAGATCTGGGCACTAGCAGCAATTAAAGAGGAACGACTGGAAAAATGGAAATTAAAGCTTCACTCATGTATGCTTTTGAATTTAGTAATTAATATGCGTTAGATTTTGCTAACACTCATGATTATTTTTCACATAAAAAGGTTTTGAAAATAATTAAAATTAAAAATTTTGTAAAAAAATTTCCATTTTTAGGGGATTTTTCTAAGTAATTAGCTTTTATTATTCTTTACTTTATAAAGTAATACTATTTAATCCATGCAAAAAGTTAAAAATAAATAATAATAAAAATAAGGATGATTAGGAAATATCCCAATTAGGCAATTACTATTTGACTCATGTTAACTGGGCCTAAGTCAAATCGAGACTGGGCTTGCGTGGAACCGGCCTACCTCCTACTCCTCCTCTGTTTTTTCCCTTCCTATTTACCAAGCTACTTTGGCTGTAAGAATCTCATTTTCTATTTGCTTTCTCTCTGCTCTTACGGACTCTAGCCGCCAACTCTCACCTCTCTAATTCCTCAAATCTCTTAGCTCGACGGCCGACGCCGACGCCGGTCCTGCCTTCGGCGGCTGCTTCACTCTTTCTCCCTCTCTTTTCTTTGCCCTTGTTTTCCTCATTTGGTATTTATTTCATTCCATTAGGTGTTTGGCTATGCTTTTCTGCTGTACCAATAATCTACTTGCGCCTTTGCTGATGCTGTATCTATTATTGGCATTTCTTTTACATGTTACTTATCTCATCTGATCTTCATCGTATAAGCTTCATTTAAGATAAAATAGTATGATTTCAGATTATATTTTGACTTTTACATTTCACTAAACTGTTTTTCTTTGTTTTGCTGTTTACTGTCGTTGCTATAAAGCTTTGTGTTGTTGGGTGAGATTTTTTTAACTTTTTTTATTATTTACTTTCGTTTTTCGTATGAAATTGAATGCAGAAGAAGTTAGTGTAGCTAAGGTTCAAAATAATTTCCAGCTGTTTAAATTAATTATTTTTTAGCGTTTGCTCCTTTTGTATGTACTATTGAATTTGGTGGTAATTTTTTAAAATTTAAGTTGATCATTTTTTATATAACTGTTCGTTATTAGTTAGGCCATAAACAAATATCTAGGTATAGAATCAAGTTTGAATCAAATAACTTTGTGCTAGTCCACTCTTTGTTCCTTTTCCTTTTACAATCTCAAGTCTTTGCCATTTTGACCATCACCGCATTTAGAAGGAAGGTATAAGAAAAAATTTAATTGTCTATAGTTTGTGAAATTTGTAGAGGAAAGATTATGGAGACAAGAGTTACCTAGGAGCTATCTTCTTTCTTTCTGTCTTATTTTTTAATGGGATGAGGGGTTTGTTTTATGATTCTTTAGTTGTTTGTAATTTTCTTACTTTTTAGACTTTCATGATATCGTGCTAAAAGATTGGGCATATTTTGGCGTGAACACTTTCTTAAAATTGATATGCGAATTAATATGTTTCAATTATGATTCTGCGGTATAATACTCTACTGTTGGAAAAGCCTTGTGTTGAAAGAGATTGATCTGGAAGATGAAAAACGTTTAAAGGCAGCCTTTTATGGCTGATTCATGATTGACATTTACATGGATTGAGTTGATGTTAGTTTGCTTGCAGATAAGGGTCTTTAAATCTTTGTAAATGAGGTTGAAATGATGAACTGATCCTAAGTGCTACTATCATAGTGTTAGTACTATATTTTTTCATGTATGTAGTAGTAGTGCAGAGGCAATAGCTTTGCCAGCATCACCATGGTTAAAGATTTAGTACAACAAAAATGGCATTGTATCCTATTGTTTTAATCTCTGGAATTAATGTGTTTTGTGATAAAATCTTTCAAAAACAAATGTTTTGAGATAAAAAATGTGGAAAGCTAGCATATTTTTTTTTTTATAAAAAATCTATTTATGTGGAACTTTCTCAATTATTTATCTTTTCATGCCTAAATTTGTTTTCTTCTTTAAAATAATGTTTAAAAAAGATTATGTTCTTTGTAACCTAGCTTTGCATTCTGAATCATCATACATTCATAGTTCAAAGAAGGTGAGGATTTTTCTTTAATATGGACCATTGAACTCTTTTGTGCTTTTTGTTTCTTGGATTTCCAAATGGGCCCTTAACCATGTTTATCCATCTTTAAGAGGAACTTGGCTTCACAATTTCTTAAAATCATCAAACCTAAGTTGCAGTTATAAATTTGACACTGAAGGCTGGGGTAGGATCCCTTCCTTTAAGTTTCGAGTATCTGAAAACTTTTACTAGTAACTTTTAAATTTGGCCATGAGAGAGGCAGGAAGAGTGTGATTGGAAAGCAGCATTGTCTTAGTGTCCTATAACAATTGTTTTTTTAAGAACAATTATTGTAGGTTTTTTTTAGCTAAAAGGAAAATAAATAGTAGTAACCAATCGAGGTTTACAATTTCAGTAGAGTGTTCTGCCCATTTATGTTTTTACATGGAAAAAGTTTTGAATATATGTACACGTGGACGCACATTTTAATGTGTTACATTTGTATGTATTATTATGTATGCATTGCTATATACGTACTTGCAGTAGGATCCTTTTTTTAAAGTTCGAAAATATTTCTAAATTTACTGTCTGATTGCGCTTTCAGTTTCTTACATAACCTCATTGCGTTGCAGAAAGCTCTACGTCACAGGACATTGCTTTATCTTGCATGATCAAATTTGAAGTTGGTGTCAAGCATCATAACGATCATCTCAAACGTAACTCATTACCATCTTTGTATTAGATTGTATCAACACCAAGCACTAATAATGGCTGCCTCTTTGTCTCAAGCATTGTATGCCACCTTCACCTCCCCAGCATCAAAACCCTCTGCATCTCCTATCTCCCTTCCCTCTATCAAAATCCCCACCTTCTCCCCTTTGACTGTCAAACCTCTCAGTTCCACCTTCACTCCAAATGTGGCACGTGCCATCACCCTTACCCCACATGCCACCTCCACACCCTCTTCTATTCCTTCTGACACCTCAACAACAACCTTCCATGGCCACTGTTATGTGGTTGGGGACAATATTGACACAGACCAAATAATTCCTGCAGAATACCTTACATTAGTTCCCTCGAACCCAGCTGAGTATGAGCAATTGGGCTCATATGCTCTTATTGGCCTCCCTTCATCATATGCTACGCGTTTTATTGAACCAAATGAGACCAAGACAAAATACTCCGTTGTGATAGGTGGTGCTAACTTTGGCTGTGGCTCCTCTCGCGAGCATGCACCTGTTGCACTTGGGGCTGCTGGGGCAAAGGCAGTGGTGGCTGAATCTTATGCAAGAATATTTTTCAGGAATTCTGTTGCAACTGGGGAAGTTTATCCAATAGAATCAGAAGTAAGAATATGTGAGGAATGTAGGACTGGGGATGTGGTGACAGTTGACTTGGGGGAGAGTCTGTTGATCAATCATACCACTGGCAAAGAGTATAAATTAAAGCCCATCGGGGATGCAGGGCCGGTCATTGAGGCTGGAGGGATCTTTGCATATGCGAGGAAAACAGGAATGATTCCATCTCAGTGAAAGTAATATGCAGGTACGGCTTTGAGCTCTTGCATATGTGTTTTGCTTGTTGAGGTATCATATGATGTCGATACAAAATACAGAACAAGCTATTTAATTTGATTGTTAATGTCTCATTCTTTGAAACAGTGGGATGAGTGGTTATGTTTTCATATGTAAGCTATGTTACAAATGAAATGTTTATTATATTATATTTTCATATTGATGATTGATTTATGCTCTACAAAACTACTTTTAATGCTTTGTCATTTTGATGTGACCTGAGTGTATGTTTGTCTCAAGTAAGTAGTTTTTATTGCACTAGGCAACGTCTGATGATTGAAGAGATTATACAGTATATAAAGTGTGAAAATGTTACTGTCAAATTTCAACCCAGTGGTTTTATGTTGTTAAGACCACATCTTCAGTAAGTAGTTTGCATGCAAAGGTCTATCAAGTCAAGTGAAGATACAAAGCAGGTATATAGTATGATGAAGTTATCGACTAGTACTTCATTCGGGATGCTTATCATGAGTGCTCTCTGCATATCCCACTGCTTTTATCCACCAGATTAAGCAGTCTGCTACCTGCTTAGAAATTGCAACTGTGGATGCCTAGCCATTTGCTTTCTGCAATTCTGTTGCATCAACAAAAGAATGGTGAAGAAGATGAATTTTACTTCTTCAAATATTTGAATTCATTTCAATATGTTGTCCAAGAGAAAAAAGGAATTTATTTCAATATGCTTCTGTGTATCATTGCCACTTTGTGTTCTGCAGATATATTAATTTGCTTACTCTTTGTTGTAGGGGCTTTATAGGAGGAGCACTCGATCCTGGCTTCTTAGACTAGTGATGGCACAATTTTGTGGTTCCTATCTGTTTAGGCACTAGGGGTCAATGCTCATCTTTTTTCTCTTATATTATCCTACTTCTGTTGAAAAATGTAAGCAGTCTTTTTCCATGTTTTTATATCTGTACCTGTGCCAAGCTGATCATCTAGGCAGTTGTTCACCCTGGCTTATAATCTCTTCTTATGATCACCCTAGTTTCTATCAGTTTGTCAAGAATACATAATTGGCATTGATCTTTTTAGTTATGAAATGTTGTTTAAGTTTTACATGTAGGCACTTCCGGTTTGTTGGAATAATCCAATGGTTCAGATCGAATAAAGCTTTGCACCTGCTGGTTTTCAGATGGCATTGTAGCCTTTTTTTTCCAAAAAGGAGTTTGTAAACTCTACAAATGAGATGCAAGAGTTGACATGTATTTCGAATAAATATATATATATAACAATTAAACAATTAATTGATTATTAAAGGAATATATACAATCATATAATTTTGTTTATGGAATTTTAAATGAATTATAAAACCCTAGCATTATTAATAGTTGCTGTTGCAATGGACAAATGTGTAAATTTAGAAGGAGATGGCCGTTATGGTTGGAGTTTGTTATATTCCTTCCAAAATTAATGTACTCTGTAATCTCATTCCCATTAAGTGGAGTTTTATTTTTAACTTTTTTTTCTCAAAAGCAGGGAAATGTTGTACAACTGCATTCCACACAATGCATAAAGAGAGAATTAGGTTTATCAAAGAAAAAGAAAAAACCATGACGTGAGTAGAGTCTTCATAAATGAAATTATTGAGAAAATCAAGGCAAGAAAACAAAAATCTGAATACACAATAATTTAGGATCGGTCATGGTCGTGACTTGTGAATGTCGTGGTTACCTTTTATGAATCCACCAACCGGAGAATCTTTGGAAGCTTTAAGTAAGAAAAGTGCCCATTGGCTACATTATTTGAACACGAATACGAGACTCTGGGTGATAAAAAAAAAGTTGAACATAAAAGTTTCATATTAAAAATAAGATTGAAAATTTTGAAAACAAATTCCTTTTTTTAAAATATAAAAAATTTATGTATATAATTTCTTGAAGTAATTGATTTGGTATGTTTTATGTAGATTTTATGCGTACAAAATATCTTATTTTGAGAATTAAGTTTAAAATTACCTTAATCGGTAAATAAGATTAAAGAATGCTCTTAATTTGGAATAAAAATTCTTACTAGTTGATCTAATATTTATTTTATAAAAATTTATTTCATTCCTAGATTAAAATGTTTTTAAACTAAAAAAAGATTAATGCATTTGAAGAATTACACGGGAAGAAGCTCCGAGAGCCACTTGCATTTGGTCACAGAATGAACATGAGTTTCTATAATTCCGTTTCTTTAAAACTATAACTTGCTTCAACTGCTGCACCAATGGGCAATGGCCCTTAAATATTCGAACCTTTTTGGTAGGCAAAACGTCACAAAAAGATTAAAAAATAAGAATAAAAAAGCTATGCTCGTACACCACCAAGCATGTTACGACAAAGTAGAAAGCAAACAGGTCATGAGTCAATGAGTCATGAGATAGCCTAGGGACCATCGCGGACAAGCGCCAGTACTGGACAAATTCATCAATCATCGCCAACCCCTTTGGACGACGATTTATTATTTATTATTATTTCTATCAGACCTGGAATCCAGATCATTCACATACAGTGCATGCTCTCTCGACTTCAAAAGGACGAACTCACCTGACGGACGGGGAAGCCAATATCGATCCATCCAATCACTGTGTTTATTTCATAAAGAAAGAACCAGATTAAAACTGACAAAGAGAGTTGGTGGACAACTCCAACTACAAATGCTGAAGCTGAGGTGCCAACTTGCCATGAGGCTTAAACTGTAAGTTATAACTTGGGTTGCGGTCGTCCCACTATATTTGTGATTGACTCGTCTATTATGGAAGAAATTCACAAATGCTGATGGTGGGAACTTTGCCTGTCTCCATTGGCAAGTCGCACTCGATTGACTGCAATGATGGAAGAATCCTACTGTAGACATTCTCATGAGATGTTCATGCCATTTAATTGATGACGAATGAATGTGACCTCTTCTTTTGATATTCATAAAGATCAGACCCTACCTACAGCTAGATAGCATGTCTTGGAAGCTTCGCTTCTCCTCAGTTACGTTATAAAAATCCATTAATTTCCTCTACATATATCAGAGAAGAAGCTCTCTTTGAAGATACTGAACTTTACCTGCGCCTGGAGGATAACAACGCAGAGATAAATAGTAAGTTGTTGCTATCACGGGCGCTGTCTTTTTTTATATCTTTGGTTGTCAACATACTGTTTTTTCATCTCTGACGTATTTGGCCTGCTAGGCTTCTGCTTCTCAACAGCAAGCGGAGAGGAATAGATCCTATGGCTCCTTCATCATCATCTGGCTGCTTTCCATTTGTCTTTGGTATTCTCTGTTTTATGTTTATATCGTCACTGCTGTTGGCGAACTCTGCCACTGTAAAAGGAACGCGAGTAGGAAAAATTGAGCTTACGGACTTGGCTACGACTAGAAGGAATCTCCTGGATAACGGCCTTGGTTTAACTCCCCAAATGGGGTATGCCTCTTACCCTCCTTCTCTTGAGTTATCTCATTTATTTATAAAAATTGGATCACTTGTATGCAACTGGAACAGCATAAGAACTGTTACATATGGAAAAACATAAAAAGAAAAAAAGGTCCTTGCCCAAACAAGGAGAAACCATTCATGTAATGATCAAGCTAAAGCTAGTTTTCCAGGTTTCAGATTAGCGCTACTTATCCGTAAGCTTTTATTTGAGCTCTCTCTTTCTCAAGTTTTAGTTTCTTGTAAATGCCCTGCTATCCATAAGCTCTCTGTAAACTTCTTCTTTTTGTGAAAAGGTGGAATAGTTGGAACCACTTCCATTGCCATATTAATGAGACCTTGATCAAGGAAACCGGTAATTAGTTCTCGACTACTACCACATCACCTTGTCTTAAGTTTCATAGTACACTCTACAAAACTAAATAAAATGTACTATGCTGATAATTATGGCAATGGATTTCGTTACTGAATCATTCTGTGCTGCAGCTGATGCAATGGTATCGACTGGTCTGGCCGCTGTTGGATACACCTATATCAATTTAGGTGGTGTACTATGATTAACTAATTCTAATTGTTTGTTGCTTTCTTAGTCTAGAATTACATTTGATTTTGCTTTACAACCTCTTTTCATATCGTTTCTTATTGAATTTTATACTGTTTGTTTTGTTAGATGATTGTTGGGGAGAACTAAACAGAGATTCTCAGGTAACATTTTCCTTCTGCTAAAAATAGGTTCCTAACTCTGCGCTAGCTCTTTGGTTTTAACTTCTAAGAGAATCAAAATCTGTGCAATGACTAAAGATTAACACTTGATCGTCAAGTAAAATGGTGTTTTTGACAGGGGAATTTGGTTCCTAAAGCTTCAACATTTCCTTCAGGCATCAAGGCTCTTGCAGATTATGTTCATAGCAAAGGGCTTAAGCTTGGAATTTACTCAGATGCAGGGTATTAATTTACTTTCATTCAAGATGGGTTCTTCTGAAAGCTTCTTTTATCCTTAGAGACTCAAGAGTTTTTTTATGATTTATTGAATCATGTCAGGACTCAAACTTGCAGCAAGACCATGCCTGGGTCCCTAGGACATGAAGAACAAGATGCAAAAACCTTTGCCTCATGGGTCTGTGTGCTTCCGTTTTGTAGTTTTTTTTTTTTTTACTTGTATTGATCATTTCATTTTTAGATGGAGTTTGCTATATTCTTGATTTTAATTGCTTTTGTGTCATTAATTCCCTGAAAAATTGTTTCTCTATGTCACCTTTCTTATTGGTATCCAGGGAGTTGATTACTTGAAATATGACAACTGTGGAAATACTGGCGTAAGCCCAAAGAAAAGGTGATGCACTTGATCTGATGATGTTCCAGTTGTGGTAATGAATCATTAAATCTTTTTGGTTGTGATATTGAAATTATTTGGTCGGTAGGTACCCGAAGATGAGCAAAGCTTTACTCGACTCAGGGAGGCCCATATTCTTCTCTTTATGTGAATGGTTAGTTAATATCTTCTTCAGCAAGGGGGACAATTGATGCATTATTTCCTTTACTGCCTAATCACATGTTCTGGCGCTAATGTTTACCAAGTTTTGAAAAAATACAGGGGACAAGAAGATCCAGCAACTTGGGCACCAAATATAGGAAACAGCTGGAGAACAACTGGAGATATTGAAGATAAATGGGAGAGGTACACATTACCTGGCTCCTATATTTATAAATCCTACATGTTTCTTAGATTTTGCATCATCTGCACCCATGCAACCATTGGTAATTGAATTGTTTCTTGAATTTGAAACATAATTATACTTTTGAGGGACTGATTTCAATCTTGTGGCCATAGCATGACATCCATTGCAGATCAAAACGACAATTGGGCTTCCTATGCGCAACCTGGAGCTTGGAATGGTATGAGACTACAACATTTTTCTATGACCTAACTACTAAGTGAGAAGCTAGCGTGAGTAATTTTTTTTCTGACTTGCCTAAAACCAAATGCTGTGAATCAGATCCTGATATGCTTGAAGTAGGAAACGGTGGCATGACAACAGAAGAATATCGCTGCCATTTCAGCATATGGGCATTGGCAAAAGTACACTATTCCAAACTTCCATTATTTATGCTCAAATTATATGGCTAAGTATAATATATACCGTCGACTTTCATGAGGACCCTTGTTGTTTTATAGCTCATCTGAGGCTTAGTATTCAATATCAGTAGTTAATACTACTGCAATATAGCATCAGTAGAGCAAGCAGCCATAAACGGAAGAAAAACAGAACACGAGAAGTGCAGGGAACAGAAAACTAATGCAACCGAGCCTGATATTCATTCATTGCTATATGTGTACAATGGAAAGCCTTTTAAAACAAAGTTTAAACACAACTTGTGCACTGCAATACTCTAAGTCATAGCAGTACCTAACCATCAATCAAAACATGCATTATTACTTATTAGGTGCATGACAGACATTAACCAAGACAGTTACTGTCAAATTACAAACCAGTAAAGCAGGGGCTCTTATCTGATAGCATGGCTTGCATAGTCTTCAATGCAAGTCTTAATTCAACGACCCTTCAGATACTAACTTCTTATTCTTTCTGGTTTTTTTTTCTTTATGTTGTATTGCAGGCTCCTTTGCTAATTGGCTGCGATGTTCGCTCTATGGACAATGTGACATTTGAATTGCTAAGCAACAAGGAGGTTATTGCAGTCAATCAAGGTAAAATGACTCGACTTTATTTCCATGATCACTACATTTATCCAGTTGGAAAAAGGGAAAGAACCCAAAATGAGGCCCAAAAAGAAAAAAGGAATAAAGTCGTTTATGAGTTATGTCCACAACAAATGTGTAACTAACAGACGTCTTTGAACTTAGCAGATAAACTTGGAGTCCAGGGTAAAAAAGTGAAGAAAGATGGAGACCTTGAGGTAATTTCATTCGTATATATAAGTTGGGTGGAATTTCTTTCGTATTTCCCCACAATTCTGATAAATGATTTTCCTACACTGAATGGATAATGTAGGTGTGGGCTGGCCCCTTGACTAACCGTAAGGTAGCTGTGGTCTTATGGAACAGAGGATCTTCCCAAGCGAACATCACTGCTTATTGGTCTGACATCGGCCTTAAGCCATCAACTATTGTTGATGCTCGAGACTTGTGGGCGGTGAGATTCCATCCAATATCAGACTATTATGCTTTGTGGTTATATAAAGATTCTAATCATATGTTTTTTCTTCTTCTTTTTTGATTTCTTTTCTCCTAAACTTGTTAAAATGAGCAGCATTCAACAGAGAGGTCGGCTCAAAAGCAAATTTCAGCTGAGGTGGATTCTCATGCTTGTAAAATGTTTACTCTGAAACCCCATAAAAGAGTTCACCATTGAACAAAAGTGACATTTTGATGGAGAATGGAATGAGAGCAGCAGCAGGAATGTAGAGACTACGCATGTGTTTATGTATTGTGAATTTCTTCATCAAGAAAGGATTGAATTTGCTTCAAGAAAAGGACACAAACTTGCACCAGAAAAATCTAATTGAATGATGCAATTTCATAGGAAAAAAAATCAAAGCCTTATACAGATTTTATATGAATGAGAATTATTATTAAGCATGAATTTAGTCGTACCTTCAACTGCATAATATGTAGTGATCAATTCATTCAATGGTCTTATTCTAAAGAAAACTTAATCCTATTATATTAAAAAAACTGACGAACAAAGAAAGGAAAACACTGGTTATGTTCTTCAGCCACGAATAACTTAAAGAAACAAAAAATGATCAAGATATTACTCAGACCTACTCTACCATCAACGTTGACCCTAGATTTTCATGAATTCCAAACTAGAAGCTTGAGCATCCAAATCAGCCCTTGTTTTTTCCTAATAAAATTTGGATGCTTGTAGCAGCTGGCAGCCTCGCACCAGCATTTCCGATTGTGGAGCACCCTAGTTTGACAAAATTGTGGTTACAACTTACAATGAATCCTTGGTTAATTTCCCTTTGTTACCATCAACCATGATCCCGTGATTGGGCGATGTTACGCATATTAAATTAGTAATTGGTTCCTTCCGCACAATGATTTGATTGAACCGTCTCCATGCAAAGCTGCGTGCATGCCCATCAGATACATGTAGAACCAAAGTTGATATGCCGGCAGATAGATTACTTGACAACAGGTTTCCATCAGTAAAGCGGCTACGAAATCTAGATTATTTTGCTGTAAGATATATTGATCGAATTATCTTATGAAAGTTGACTTATGATTCCAAAGTGGAAGCTTTCTATGTCGCTTTCACCACTATGACATCAGATAGTATTTTCCTAAGCTATATTCCGTTAACACAGAGCTTCACTATATATATCTGTATATATACTACAATACTAGGATTTCTGAATCTGTGTTCACAGCTTATGCTTCATGCAAACTAAGGCAGCACCCTATGGCTTATGACTGGACATCCTCTCCCGTTGCCTTTATATTAATCGCCATTATGATGGCAGCAGTAAGCCATGGTGCTCGTTCTAGGGAACTTGGTGAAGGGAAAGCGATAACAAGAAATCTGCTTTATAATGGTCTTGGTCACACTCCTCAAATGGGGTGAGAGCTTATTCTGTGTCTACTGTGCGCCATTTTTGTTAGTATCGTTTGACATTGAAGTGTGGATCCATCATGGATGTACAGTAGTTTCTGATGGGGACTTTTCGTGAAAAATAAAAAAAAATAACAAAAACTTTTCTAGGAAATTCAGGAGGCTATATCCATATTTACTATATTGCAGAACCCAGAACAGAGTCACAGACTTTATTTGGGTGCTGTTTAAGTAACTTAGTTAAAATTCCATTTGCACTCTTATCAAAAGATTTCATTTGAATGGCTCCATTGCCTGTGCTCCTCAAAGTTCCCCCAAGATTCAAGATATCATACCTTTATGCAGTGATTACAAGTTAAACTCTACATCTTTGGAGTTGTAACAGGCACGGTCTCGCATTTTTGCTATTTTACTGGTTTCTGTTTTCCGCAGATGGAACAGCTATAATCATTTCCCCTGCAAGGCTTGACATTTCTGCCTAGTACGAATCACTTTTATAATTTTGAATGAATAACTCAATTTCTTATGCAGCTGATGCTATGGTTTCTAGTGGACTGTCAGCCCCTGGATATGAGTATATTAATCTAGGTAACTTACTCTATTGCTTTGAGCAATAAAATACGATTGTTCTAATAAGCAACTTCTTTTATGTTGGCCATGTCTCTACAAAAGTTGTAATTATCATAAAGTTGTTTGATCGTGACGAGATGATTGTTGGGCTGAATTGAATAGAGACTCTAAGGTATAAACCAAATTACGTAATTTTTCAAATCAATTGTGGTTGCTTCGACACTAATGAACCGATTATCTGTTGTAATTTATCTGCTATACCAATACCTTTTGCCAATCAATGCATCTTCATGATTTCATAGTTTGATAAACTAAAGCACTGGAATCTCGACTTCTTAAGGCTTCATTGATGAAGTTAGGTGAAACTTGTAAATGAAATTTGAGACTTCTGGACCCAAGATTCTGAAGCTTTCCATGCTTTCTTTCTTTTGTTCCTTGAGGAAGGATTGATTTTCCTGGGCCTTGACGATTTAGCCTTGCTAGCACTCTTGCAGAAAGCTTGCTGTAATACTGTCATTTATTGAGTTTGCATGTAACATGAACGTATCAAACTGACTAAGCGAATAAATGTCCAAAAAAATGGTGCATGTAATCTTTTCTATGCTTTAGGTGTTATAATTGACTGTCCATACTATTATGGACGTTCAGACTAAAGAGCAATCCCCATACTCTGTTTTGTAAACAAGGCAACTTAGTACCAAAAGCTTCTCTCTTTCCCTCTGGGATGAAGGCTCTGGCAGATTACATCCACAGCAAGGGGCTTAAGATTGGGATTTATGCTGATGCTGGGTACCAAGCTACATCTCCTAATATTCAAATAAAATGCTAAAATGTTCTTTGGTACCAAAAACTATTCCATCTTTATTATCCCCTATATCTGGCTTTGCTTTTTCAGGACTTTAACGTGCAGCAAGACAATGCCAGGGTCTCTTGGTCATGAGCAACAGGACGCTAACACCTGTGCTTCTTGGGTATGCTCTAACAATTGCTGCATATTTAGGTTAAATATGGTCCAGATCGACGGTTCATAAGAATCAGGGACGGATCCGAGGTGGGGGCAATGTTTTTATATTATGAAAGTAATTAAAAAATTTTAACTCCTTTATATTTTGCCTTCACTGGTATTGAGAAGAAGCTATGCCTCCTCCTTCGATATTACTTATATAACAGATGAACTGGGGGTTCAAGGGAAGAAGGTTAGGAAGATTGGTGTTCTGGAGGTGAGAGTTTTAAATATATTTATTTGACCCTGAAGCATCAAATTTCCATCAATACATAGCAGCTGCAGATGGCTTAGCTTTGTTCTCTCTCTCTTCTGTTACATGTTCACTAACCCTTAAAGTTTGTTCACATGGAATGTGATGTGAAGGTGTGGGCTGGTCCTTTAGGTAAGAACAGAGTTGCAGTGATCTTATTAAACAGAGGATATTCAAGTGCTACCGTAAGTGCAAGATGGAATGACGTTGGGCTCAACTCTTCTACAGCTGGTGATGCTCGAGACTCATGGGCGGTAGTCAGGCTAATGTTTCAGGTTGTCTGATGATTTGCAGCATGCAACTAGGCAATCTGTCAAAAATCAAATCAAGGCAACTCTGGTATCCTATGCTTGCAAGATGTATGTGCTCACACAACATTAGAACGTATTGGCGTAGAAATGGTCATCGGGAGCAGGGTTTCCTTTTTGATGTGATTTTTATAATTAAAAATATTTTTCATCGTTCAGGAATTCTGAATCTCCTATTATGAATTGTGATAATAATTCATTAAAATAATATAAATTAAGAAGTAATAAATTTGTGATAAGAACGCTATGTGGTCATCCAATGTCAGGGGCTTGTATAGCGGGTCATGGGCCTAAATGAAATCTTTCTGGGCTGGGGCATTTGGTTTCGCAAAATCCTAAAAACAAGCTGTGCCCATTTAGCTAAGAAAAGCCCGAAACACTTTCCGTTATCCTCAACACCGGAGGAAACCGAAGAGAGAGTGGTAAAAGAAGATGGCGGCAATGAAAGGATGTTATTGCCATCCAAATGCAAGTAAAAATGAAACCCATCATCATCATCGCCTTCTTCCTCAGAATTTATCTGTAGTTACCAAGAAGCCCTTTCCCTCTTCTTCTTTTTCCTCTTATGCGACTCTTAACGCCAACGATGACAAGAAGAGATCGCTGCCTCTTCGAATTCGAGCAGCAGCTGGAGAAGGCAATTCGACTTCCAATGTTACAAGCACAAGCGACGTTAAGGGGTCGGGGACAACAGCGAGAGGTAGAAGACTTGTCAAGATTCGTGAAGAGAAGAGGAAGCGAGAATTCGACAGGCTTCACAATTATCCTGCCTGGGCTAAGTAATTCTTTTTATATTTGCCATTCACTTTCCCTGTTTGACTTATTGCCTCTATGAATATCAATTTTGTTTTTGTTTTAATCAAAACAGGGTCCTAGAAAACGCCTGCAAAGACGATACGGAGCTACGAGCGGTTCTTGGCGATAGCATTGGCGACCCTGAGCTCATGAGGAAACGGGTCCGTCAATACCTTTTTGTTTTTATCTTTCCCCAGCCTAATCAACAATATAGCTGATGTTCCGATGAGTTTCCTAATTATGTTTTGCAGGTTGAAGAGCGTGTTCGGAAAAAGGGTAGAGATTTTCACAAACAAAAAACGGGCTCTGTGCTTTCATTTAAAGTCAGCTTCCGAGAGTAATTTCTCATATCTCACTAAAGGCTTCTATTCACGCAATCAACTACCTAATTAGTTGTCCATGCTAGTAATTAGTTTCAATGTAGAGAGTAGCTCTTTTATCTTTCCTAACAGAACACTGATTAAATAATCTGGGTGCGATCAAATTTTCTTAGTTAAAATATACTTAGAACTGAACTTCTTTTAGCAATGAATGATAAGCATAGAAGGAGCTGTTGCTGCCTGATTCTACTAATTTACGCCTTAGTCTTTCTTATTTGTAGAGATAGCCAATGTTTCCATAACCCTCAACTTCAATAATTTTTATTTTTGATGGCTGTGCAGTTTTAACCCACTTGATTCCTACATATGGTTTGAGTTATATGGATCACCTTCTGATCAAGAAGTCAATCTCATTGGCAGTGTCAGTAGTTTCATCCTCTATATGGTTCCTGCTTTTTGGCTATTTGGCAATGAATTCAGACTATTGTAGAGAAAATCATTTTTTTATTTATTCTTAGATGACGTTTGGTACAGTGCAATGTGATTACAAGTAATGTGATTGTAGAAAAAATAACATTACAGTATTTGATGTCTAAACAAAATAAAGATTGAAATGCAGAAAAGATAACATTGCATCGATTGATTTACAAGTATTTTGTTAGGAATGTGATGTTTATTTTCAAAATTATTTTTATTTTTTAAAATGTAAGTTTAATATATTTGTATTTTTTATATTAATTTTTATGTATTATCATCTCTTAAATATATTTTTAATGTCATATTTTATTTTTATTTTTTATTATAATTTTATATATTTTATTTTCATCTCTTTAATATAAATTTTTATATTATATATTTTGTTTTAATTTCTTTTACCTATGTTATATAAATTTTAACTTCTTATATTTTATTTTATTTTATTTTATTTTTTGATTTTTATATTATATATTTTATTTTAATAT